AAAGTTTATGTGAATTTTATTTTCTACTCCACATTTTTCATCATAAAAACAAAGTACCTCCTACTTAAACTTCTTCAAGTAAAATGGACTTTGCATAAGGGGATGCATCATGTTTATCTTCTATTTCACATTTTCCTTGGTACAATCATACAGTCCTCTAGGATATGACAACTCAGTTATAATAACTGTTAAGAAACACAGTTCCCCATCTATAATAAGGTTTCCTACTTTCTTTTACCTTCTCTGCACATCTAAACCCATAGAGGAAGCTGAGGTAAGGACTCTCCTTCCCCTGAACTGAGTCATTTTAGCCACCACCTAAACCCTGAAAGGACAGAACATCCTATAATATTGATGGCTGTCTATCAAATACTCATTTTCTCCCACATTCCTCTTCCTAAGAGATTCTCAATTTTCTTAAAATTTATCAGTTCTCTTCTGTGCATTCAAATGATTTAGGAATAGCCTCAGCCCCATTAACAGGGGATGGGTTCTGACTGGCCTAAACCAATAATGGTAGTCTTACTCATTTTGCTAAAATTGCTGTAGGCATGAGCAAGTGAGAAATCTGGCCAAGGAGATAGGTGGGAAAATCAGTTGTGGGGCTTCTGGAAAAGGTTGTGTGTACTCTTACAGAGATGCCAGAAGAAAGAAGGCCCCTTTTTGTTTCTGAACATTTGTTTGGTGCCAGGGGTCATGAGATTTGAAACTGCTCTTGCTGCCTTGTGATCAAAAGAAGAGTCAGCCTGAGGAGAGAGGCAACATATAAGGGAAAGAGAAAGGCAGAACCAAGAGAACATCATAGAGAAAGAGCCAGAGTCCTGATCATGCTGTACCTGCAATTGCTTTATCTTACGAGTACTTCTATGAAGTGGTATCTTTATTATTGAAGGCACCTGAGTCAAAGTGTCCTGGTTCTTGCAGTGGAAAAGAGCCTAGCTGATACAATCTTTCATTCACTTGTCAAGTCACCATTCCACTCATCCCTCTTTTCCTCTGTGCTACTCTACAGCACAAACTCCATGTAAAATTGGTACTGGTTTACAATCCAAGGAAATAAAGGAAGATGAAAATTGTTAAAAGAGTAATTTCTTAGTAACTCTGTAACTTTTATGGAGTAGTCCTTTTCTTTACTCAGTGTGTATTACTGCTGCTGTTGTTGTTGTTAAGTGCCGTCGAGTCGTTTCCGACTCATAGCGAACCCATGCACAGCAGAACGAAACACTGCCCGATCCCGCGCCAGCCCCACAATCCCTGCTATACTTGAGCCCATCATCACA